GTCAAGCAGGCCCCATAAGGTGACCAGAGCTCTAGTCCCTAAACTGGTCAGCCTGGAACACCAGGATGTGACAGGCTGGAAGAAGGGGATCGCAGTGTGGACAGTCCCTGTGAACAGAGTTCGAATCCCTGGCCTGATCAGCCTGGAGCACCGGGATGTGACAGGCTGGAGGAAGGCGATGGCAGTGTGGACAGACCCTGAGAAGGGTGCTCCTCTCTCCTCACCCAACTCTCACGCACACATGCATAGGGAAAAAAAGAATAGGGAAAAAAAGAATTAGACTCCCTCGTGGGTTTCTGGGCCTCTAAAATACCCCGGAAGAGCTCTTACTGAATTTGAATATCAACGGAGTTCACTTTGGCAAAGAAAACTGTTTAAAGGTCTGGACTGCCAGACCAAAGGATAATGAGGACCTGCACGTGACTAAGCTGTGCGTCTCCGCTAATTTAGGGAAGGGAAAACATTTCTTCTTTCTACTCATTGCTAGGCTGGGGCTGGAGGCTCTGTAACAAGACAGACTAGTAAGAGGAAAGCTGCCGGTCCACTCATTGTGTTCTGTGACACCGTGGCCCTCAGAAATGAGGGCCCGAAGAGACAGGGAGGCCTCTGAACTTTCTGCTGCGTCTGATGACGAGTGGCCAGCGTTGGGAACAGGCTCAGTTAGGGGGCAGCGATGCACTGGTGAGAGACTGGGAGATTCAGCAAGGCCTGTGTGTTCGGCTCCTTGCCGTCGTCCCTGTGTCTCCGAAACTAGGCATTGTCTCCTCCGGGTGCAAGGTCACCACCTCTCAACAAGGGCCTTAGACCTATTGCAGGGGAGAATGGTGCGGGAGGTGAGAGGGCTTCTCTGCTTCTGCTGTTTTCTCAAATGCCAAGTGGAGTGGCATGTCCTAAACCCCTAAACTAACTTGAAAGCCTAAGGCCAGACCAGGTGCTCTGCATTGGATTTAACAGAGAGTGACAATGCAGTCTTTAAAGACAAGTGTTATCTTTGAGGGAGGAAACTCAGTAATTAACTATCTGGATCTTTCAAAATGGTTCCAGGAGCCAGCAGGTGGCATGGTGCTTAAGGCGCTAGACTCCCACATGGTTAACCATGGTTCGAGTCCTGGACCCAGTGGCTTGAAAATTGCATCATGTACCTCTGGATGCATGCCCAAAATCCTGAGAGGAGAGTGGAGGAGAAGAGATTGCTGTGGCCATCCCCTCAGGGGGCAATTCATCACTTTCCCTCTCTCTGTCTCTCTGCCTCTCTTTCTCTCTCTCTCTCTCTCTCTCTCTCAAGCACAAATGCCCTATGGCCAAAACCTTTTAAAAAGAAAATTCCCTTGGGCTCTCTAAAACGGAACCCTGGGAGTCTGTCAGGCCGCTTTGGGGTTTGAGGTTTGCTACTGGCTCCTGGCTGGTCTCTTATACCCCAGGGTCCTGTCCCGTTTTGACTTCTAAAGCTCCTGGCGTGGTGAAGATTAAGCCTGTAAGAAGAGGAGAGGAGGGACCTGGGCCACAGTGAGCGACCGCCCTCAGCACCCCTCTGCCCCCTCAGGCTGCCTCCACATCGTCAGCACCCCTGGCCCAGTTTCTAACCTGAGAGGAAATCCATGGTTCTGCTGGGAAGCCAGAGCCAAGAAAGATCAACAAAATGAGACAGGCCGCGGGTGTAGGAGGCTCACGGGCAGCTGGCCAGGCCCCCAACAGGACGGCAGTAGAGGGAGGCCCAGGAGAGGGACGGCCTCTGCACGGTGCCCCTTCCAGCTGGTGTCAGCCCCTAGCCCTGCATGACAAGCCGCCTGGCCCTGGGTGCCAGCCCAGACTCCCTACTGAGGCAAGAGCGAAACCAGAGCACCCTGTTGCCCAGGGCAGCCCAGGGCTGTCCTGGGTGGGGGTGAGAAGAGAAGGCCAGCCACATGGGGAGCTGGGGTGTCCCGGAAGGAGAGGCTGAGGGGAAAGGAGGCTCAGCATCCCAAGTTCTACCTAGGAAGGTTTAACTTTACCTGACCCCCAAAAGGGAGAATAATTTCCAAATGTGCAGAAGGTTCCAGGAGACGAATCTGAGAGGAGGCTCTTACCAGCAGTCAGTGATAGCCACAGTGCTGTGGGCTCACCCAGGCCACGCACATCTGTGTGTAACGGCACGGGCCAGGCAGCAGGGGACGCTGCAAGCTGACATCTGCTAAGGCCTTTCCCTTAGAAGCACATGCCTGCAGTTCTGGATCAAGCAGATCCGCGGCCATGCCCGCCCACGGAGCCCACCCAGCCCAGCTGGGAGGCGAACAGGCAGGTGCTGAAGAAGGTGGGTGGGGGGAGGAAGGGTGAGGGAGAAAGGGGAGCGGGAGAGCGAGGAGGGGCTTGCTGAACGACAGCTGCCATCACAAGCCACTGGGTGCTGTCCTGGTCAGCTCTCTGACTTAGGTGTGGTCACTGCTCTACGAGAGAAGGCCTGCTGACATGCCCATGGCAGGGCTGGCAGGGCTGGCAGGGCCATGGCTAGGCCTCTGCTGGCATCCCCGATGGCTCAGAGGAGGCAGCCTATCCATCACCCTGAGATCAGCCACTCCGGCCCTTCTAGTCTCAGACTGGCTTCCACCTGGTTCCGGGGCAGTGCTGACAATCTACCGAGGACACTGCTAGGCCACCCTGTGCGACAAGGATCAGAAACCTCTCTGTCACTGACGGGCCATCACTCTGTCTCTGCCCACTTCCTCTAGGGCAGGTGCCCGGCTTGTCGTCAGCGGAGTCAGCCATTCTAACTGCCCACCTGCACACCCCGTCCCCTCGAGGGGTGGCCTGGGGGCGGAGAAGGCTAGTCTCAGTACCACACAGAGAGGGCAACCAGTCCCCTTATTCACATTACAGGGGAACCCGATACGAGGTTGAGAAACACTTCCGACCGACACCTGACGCTAAGTACAACCCATGATTGGATTACTCGGATCTCGGGAACATTTGGCACTGGGCCAGGACACCTCTGGCCGTGCTTCTCAATATGCAAGCACCCCCATAAATGAAGCGACAAACTGCCCCTGCCCCTGCTGTGGCTGTCCCCAGGCTGCGGCTGCCTGGTGGCCTTGCTATGAAGTGGAGCCTGTCCCTGACCGCCACGGCCGGTGGGCTTTGTTCCCGTGTTAGTGCATTAACGGGGAAGTGTCGCATGGCTGTACAAACCAATGGCCGTGCGTGGTCGAGTCTGCCTCTCCTGTACGGACTGCCTGCTCGAAGTCGCGCGTGGATTTCTGCGTGGGCTCCTTGGCAGCCGACCCTCCTCTTGCTCTCACCGAGAGCTCCCTTGCTCACAGCATAAAGGTCTGGTGTCTTGACAGGGCGTGTGTCACGGAGCCAACCCACGTTCCAGTGTTGGTAAATGTCCTAGTCCAAGGCAGTCGGGTGGTCTCTGGCCCCTGGGAGTGCAGGGGGCGGACAGTTGCTCTTATTCTTTCTGTGGCTGATTACAGAAAATATCCACGTCTGGGCAATTTAAGAGAATAGATGTTTTTTCAACTCACAGTTGGGGGCTTAAGGCCCAGGGGCCCCCTCTGCTGGAGATCTTCTTGCCACATGATGGCGTCCACGTGTCTCAGCCCTGGCCGCATTCTCTCTCCTTATAAACCCACCAGGATGTAGTCATGGGTCCGCCCCGACGGCCCAAACCCTGTTCACGCAGAGGAGATTCGACACTGCTGTCAACACTACGGTTGGGGTCGGTTTCCACCTGTCACAACAACCTTCGACACATGCACTTTGGGGAACATTCCAAGCACAGAAACAGGCTTGGTCACCACCTGCTCGCACCCAAGGCTGGCTGATTGCTAAATCAACTCTCATCCGTGGACTTGGGGTCCAGAGCTGTGCTAAGCGGGTCTCGACACTGCTCTCAGAATGCTCTCAGGGACCAGGACCAGGAGTTGCACCAGGACCACCCCACAGCCTTCTGGGAGTAACAGACAGAAGCAGAGACCAGGCGCAGACACCCCTCCCTCACTCAGGACACCGGCTGCCCGGGAGGTCCCTCGGTGTGCTGAACCCACGCACCAGCTTATGACGAACAGGGCGGGCAGTGGCAGTGGGACACCAGGTAGCAGAGCAGCCAGACACAGCCGTGGTGACAAGAGCGGACGTCCCCTCGGGGGCACAGAGCGCAGTGTGACCTTCCACAGCGGACGGTCCAGCTTTGCATCCAGAGACACTCCTGAGCACACTGGGCTTGCAGGTGCCATGCCCAAGGGCTGGCTGAGGCTGCAGGGTCACAGTGGCATCAAGGCCCTGCTGGGTTTGCTGTCTCTCTGTCGCTGTCTCTCACTCATGGGAGAAATACATAAATAGGCTTAAAAAAAAAAAAAGAAACAAGAGAAACATCTCTAGCGGCAGGGAGGAGAAAAATCCCTATGGCCCCTGCTTTATACCACTGGCTCTTCAATAGAGAGAAAAGAAGAGAAGTGGGTTCCATTTCGGGTACTTTATTACGCTGGCACTGGTGTATCAGCAGGCCACCTCCTCTGGTGGCAGCTTCACAATGCATCAGGGGCTCTTGTCCACTGGGAAAGCAGATTGCCTGACTCTCCCGTGCTTAGGTGTCCCCAGCCCCATCCCGAAGAGACACCCGAGCACAGCCGTGACTGGGACAAGTGGGCTGACAGCGCTCCTGCCTGCCTTCACACCCAGCCTGCCCGCGAGGCGAGCATTTCAGTCTCTCCTGGTCAGCGGGTCTAGGGGCAACACTTCGGGACAGAAAGGCAAGAACTACAGATTGCAGTAAACACTTTGAAGAGGATCATAAAGTCTGAAAAAAAATCAAAGCAAACAGTGGCTGCAGGGGTCCTAGCACACTTGTTTGGAGAAGCCCGGCCGTGGAATTTGCCATCCACTTTGAATCCGGAAGAGGGTCCTGACCCCGGGACTCTGATCCCATTACACTGCAGCGTGCCCTCCGCTCTGGGAGGAGAGGGCGCCTGCTGATAGGAATGTATTAATTTCCCCGACACTCGGTGTGCAGGGAGATTAGCGGGCGGTGACATGTGAACGCACTCAGGTTCCCCCGGGGAATATGGAGGAAGGGCTGTTTGTGGTGCCAGTGTGAGGTGGCGACAAACGCGTGGAGAAGATGTTACGCAAACGTGACATCTGGCCCTCGGAGCTCCCAGTGCGCTCCGCAGAGCCGCAGGAGCGGACAGCGGGGAGGTGCAGTTTGAAGTGAGCCGAGCACGGAGAGGCGTGCGCCCGAGGCCGCCGCTGGCTCAGGTCAACTCTCACCCTTGGACTTTCTGCCCAGAGCTGTGCTCTCAGAGCGCAGGGCAGCCCCAGGACCGCCACCTCCAGCCACCATGCCCACCCTGGATGATATTCTAGAGCACATTGGGGAGTTTGACTTTTTCCAAAAACAAACATTTTTCCTCTTATCCCTGCTGTCGGCGACCTTCGCCCCCATCTACGTGGGCATCGTCTTTCTGGGTTTCACCCCCGACCACCGCTGCCGCAGGCCGGGG